AGGCAGGAATGAGCGGGGGAATTGGCAGGGGCACGGCCGTGTCACCGATCTGGGGGAATTAGGAGGGGAACACAGCCCCATCGTTCCTCAGCGGGGCACAGCTTTGGGGACACAGCCCTGTCACCCCTTTGTGGGACTGAGACCCACACAACAGGGCAGAACACGAGTTTGGCCAGTCCACACAGAGGAAAAGCCCTGCCCAACCCTCAGGGGAGCAATGGGAGTCCCACAGGCATGGGGAGCTGTCACAGCTTCCACTTCAGGGTGGCCCCACAAGAAGCTGTCCCCTCCCCGGGTCACCCCGAGGTGGGAAGCCCTGGATGCCCACACTCACTTGGCTCCCTGTCCCCTGCAGCCGATGGCGGCGGGACCATTGCCCACTGGCTGGATGCTGATTACCTCTTCAGCAGCGATGCTGCCCACCCTGACACCCGCAGGTGGGCACAGGAGGCTTTAATGTATTTAGTGAAAAGTGTTTCATGGATATTGGCATCCTGTAAAATTCAAGGGTGTGTTTTTAAAGTCACGGCGTGGATCTGCCATTGCTCAGTGGGCTCGGGAGAACTCACACCCACACTAAGCTATAGATAGACAGAGAAAAACCATCCATGGGTTCAGAATGGCTTAACAGTGATATAAATTTAATTAATTGTACTAGTTTCTTGCTGGTCTGCTGGAAAATCAGCATCTAAAACAGAGGTGATACAGTTCCCAAGGAAGGAATCTGGTTTCAAAAAATCCGGTGTGAATTAATGCTAAAAGGAAGCACTGGGTTAAAAATGGACGGAAAAGAACTGAAATGCTTAATTAAAAAAAAAAATAGAGAGCTATGGAATATTTGTACATATATAAGGAAAGTCTTAAGGATCTTTCTCACTTCCTAATATCAGCGAGTTTTTGTATTTATTCATTATTCAGTCATGTAAACATATGTATGGGGAAGGAAGCTGCAGTATTTCCCTTAGGCTTTGCTAGGCTGTATTAAATAGTTTCTCTAACAGACCAGTGCTTAAAACTGGCTTTGAATTTTGGAATCTTTCAGCCACCTGCTCCAGCTAAGCGAGGGGAATTCCAGTAAACACAGAATAACATCTTTTATTCTGCAACAATGTGCTGCCAGACCAGCCTGCTCCCACAGGGAATTCTGGATAATTTATATATATAGATATATATACACATGTACACACATATATATACACATATATATGCATATATACACATATATATATATATAAATTATATATAGTATATATACACTATACTATGTAGAGAGTATACTATACTATATATAGTATATATTATATATACTGTATATAAATATATATGCTATTACTAATTATAAAATTGTATATATTCATTATACATTAAAAAGATATAATTTTATAATATACAAATATAATAAATATTTTAAAATAGAAATAATTAGATAAGTATAATTATATAATCATCCTTAAACCCAGCAAACAAGATTTAATTCCTCTCTAAGGAGGACAGTGAGGGCTGGAGCACCCTCCACCTCTACTTCCTTGCTCCTGTGTGAGCAGGAACCAGTGTGGTGAAGGATAATTGTAGAAAAATCCTGTCTTTGCTCTTCCCTAAGCAGTTTCACCTCAAGAGCAGAGTGAGACTGTAATCCCTAAAAATACATTTACCCTGATCCCTCCTCCGGGCTGCCCCTGGGAGGTGCTGGCAGCCAGGATGTGGCTGGTAGAAAATCACAGAAAATTAGGGGCTTTTGGCAAAAAATTTTGGCAAGTTTCATGATAACACCCCTCTAAACGTTTTGGTTTTGGTTTGCTTCCAGGTTCTCTTTGGAAATCAGCTCTGTTTCTCTCTTGCAGCATCCACGAGAGCCTCAGTTACCTGGAGGGCAAAGTCACGGTCTTTCACTCCTGTTACCTCTCTGTGTGTGCGAGCACCCGAGCTGCAGAGAGGCCCTCGGTGCTTCTGGGCCACTTCATCCTGCCCCCTGCCTGCCTGCACGAAGGTCAGGCACAAACAATCATCTGGGGATGTTTTCCCGTGGAAATCCCCCTTGAGTACAGCCTTGGTGCCAAACTAGAGCTGACAGTTACTTGTCTGCAGGGAGGGATTTTTCCTTCTGCTTGGGAGTGGCTTTTCCTCCCAGAGGGCAGAGTATGATCCATCTATTACCACAGAGCGGCTTGACCTTGAACATTCCCAGGGATGGGGCAGCCACAGCTGCTCTGGGAAACCTGTGCCAGGCCCTCACCACCCTCACCGGGAAGAATTTCTTCCCAGTATCCCATCTAACCCTGCCCTCTGGCAGTTTGAAGCCTATCCCCTTTGTCCTGGCACTTCAGGCCCTTGTCCCCAGTCCCTCTCCAGCTCTCCTGGAGCCCCTTTAGGCACTGGAAGGGGCCCTGAGGTGTCTCTGGAGCCTTCTCCAGGTGAGCACCCCCAGCTCTGCCAGCCTGGCTCCAGCCCTTGGAGCATCTCCATGGCCTCCTCTGGACTTGCTCCAACAGCTCCCTGTCCTTCTGCTGTTGGGGACCCCAGAGCTGGAGGAGCACTGCTGCTCCTGAGAGGGGCAGAATCCTCCCCTCACCTGCTGCCCACACAGTGGGAGCAGCCCAGGACACATGGAACCTCACACCCATGAGCTTCTCATCCACCAGCACCCCCAAATTCTCCTCAGGGCTGCTTTCAATCCACTCTTCCCCACCCTGAATCTGTGCTTGGGATTGCCCTGGCCCAGGGGCAGGACCTTGCATTTGGGCTTGTCCCCAGAGGCACCTGCAGGGCATCACACTGGCAGCAACTTGCCAGAGTTGTGTTTTCTGGTGCTCTCACAGTCACTAGTTTTGTTGTTCTTCTCAGAAATCAAAAGGAAAATTGGCCGGTTTATTTGGGAGAAGGCAGATGCCCTTGAAGAACAGGTAAGGTAAAAAATTTGTACTTCACATGTATGTGCTGGAGGAGGAGCTAGTGCTGAGCAGGGAGCTTGCACAGGAATTCAGGGGGGAAAAAAGAGCATATATAATTTTTGGGAAAAGGAGCAGGCAACTCAGGAAGCATTTAAAGATGTCTTTAGGTCATGCAGAGAGAAGAAAATTAGAGAGGTGAAAGCTTGGTTAGAACTTAATTTGGCCATCTCTATAAAGGATAATATTTTTATAAATTATATATATAAAAGGAGGACCAAGTATGACGGTGTTCACAGGGGTCTCAGGTTGAGGGAAGACACAAGGATCTGACTCCATGTTTCAGAAGGCTTGATTTATTATTTTATTATATATATTACATTAAAACTACACTAAAAGAATAGAAGAAAGGATTTCATCAGAAGGCTAGCTAAGAATAGAAAAAGAAGGAATGATAACAAAAGCTTCTGTCGTGGACAAAGAGTCCAAGCCAGCTGGGCTGTGATTGGCCATTGATTAGAAATAACCACATGAGACCAATCACAGATGCACCTGTTGCATTCCACAGCAGCAGATAACCAATGTTTACATTTTGTTCCTGAGGCCTGTCAGCTTCTCAGGAGGAAAAATCCTAAGGAAAGGATTTTCCATAAAAGATGTCTACGACAACCAAGGAAAACCCTCATTCTTTATTGCAGTGTCCATCACCAAGGACTAGGAAAAGGCTGAGGTAATTACCACCTTCTTTGCCTCAGTCTTCAGCACTAAGACTGGTGGGATCAGGACAAATAGTGGTAGACAGGCATGGGGAGCAGAATGGAGCCCCAGAAATCCAGGAGGAGGCAGTCACTGCCCTGCTGTGCCACTTGGATGCTCACAAGTCCACGGGCCTGGATGGGATCCATCCCAGGGTGATGAGGGAGCTGGAGGAAGAGCTTGCCAAGCTGTTGTCCATCATTTATCACTAGTGCTGGCTCACTGGGGAGGTCCCAGATGACAAGGGACAATGTGACACCCCTCCACAGGAAGGGCTGGAAGGAGGGTCTAGGGAATTAAGAGATCTTTCAGTGTGACCAGTGGCAGGGAAGGTTATGGAGCACATCACCTCGAGTGCCATCACCTGGCACATGCAGGAAAACCAAGGGATCAGACCCAGCCAGCCTGGCTTTGGGAGGGGCAGGTCCTACCTGACCAACCTGATTTCCTTTCATGACGAGGGGATCCACCTGGATGAAGGAAAGACAGTGGATGTGCCTACCTGGATGTCAGCAAAACCTTTGACACCATCTCCCACAGCATCTCCTGGAGAGCTGCAACCCACAGCTGGGACAGCTGGTGTCTGGGCACCAGTGGTGTCCCCCAGGGATCAGTGTAGGGCCCAGGCCTATTCAACACCTTTCCTGAAGATCTGAATGAGGGGACTGAGCCCACCACTGGCAGACAGACAGGTGACACCAAGCTGCGTGGGAGTTTGGTTTTACTGGAGGCTGGGAAGGCTCTGCTGAGGGACCTGGACAGGATGGATCAATGGACACTGAAGGACATGGACAGGATGGATCAATGGACCAGGGTCATTTGTAGGAAAGTCAACAAGGCCAAGGTCTGGGTCCTGCACTTTGGCCACAATAACCCTGCAGAGCTACAGACTGAGAGGAGTGGCTGGAAAGCAGCCTGGCAAGAAAGGTCCTGGGATTGCTGATCAGCAGCAGAACATGAGCCCAGGTGGCCAAGAATGCCAGTGGCACCTGGCCTGTGTGGCCAGCAGGAGCAGGAAGTGAATTTTCCCCTGTACTGGGCACTGCTGAGGCCCCAGCTTGAGTGCTGTGTCCAGTTCTGGACCCCTCAATTCCATTCAAGGACATTTTGGTGCTGAAAAGGAACTGAGCCAGGGAAGGGTCTGGAGCACCAGGAGGGCTCAGCCTGGAGAAAAGGAGGCTCAGAAGGGACCTTCTGACTGTGCACAGCTCCCTGACAGGAGGGGGCAGCTGGGCAGGGGCCAGGCACTGCTCCCAGGGACCCAGGGACAGGATGAGAGGATGCTGCCTTTAGCTGTACCAGGACAGGTTAATGTTGCACATCAGAAAGAGCTTTTTCCCAGAAGGGATGATCAGGCACTGGAATGGGCTGCCTGGAATGACTGCATGTGCCACTCAGTGCTCTGGGCGGTTGGTCACTGGTTGGACCTGATGGTCTTTTCCAACCTCACTGATTCTGATTCCTTGTGCTTGTTGTGCTGTGTGTCCCTCCCTGCACGACACCCTGAGGGGACAGCACTGGAAGGACTGTCCCTTGCCCAGACACATCCAGTGTGCTGTTCCAGGGATTCCAACTGCCACAGGCTGAGCTCAGCCCTTTGGGCTGCTGTTTTCCTTCCCCATGTCACTGCCCACTCTCCTCTCAAAGCAACTTCCCAGCACTTTTGAAGGAGGAATGCCCTTAAATTTAAAATTGAACTCTCAATTATGCTTGAAATCATAAGCCCTAAGAATTCATGCACTCACAGCATGTCCCAGCTGTCTGCAGGTGACCCAGGGACAATTTTAACTCCATCTTGTGCTGATATTCACAGCCCAAGGAAAATCCTACAGAGGAACCAGAAGCAGCAAGAAATAGCTGTGAGGAAGAATCAGAGGAGGAAGTGCTAGACCTGGCTGAGAGGTATTTTCCTACCTTGGGTGGTGGGATTTGGATACACCTCCAATTCCAAACAATCATAACACATAGGAACTAACACACAGATTTTTTTTTTTTCCCCTCCTGATACAGCACAGAAGAAACAGAGTCTGAAGCACCCACCCAGGGAGAATTTCCATGCCGTGCCCTCCAGGAATACCCAATAAATAACATGGTGACAGGTACATAAATGCAGCTGGAGAGGGCTGCAGATGGAGCAGGACTCAGTGAGCCCATCCTCCCTCCCCAGGCTATGCCTCTGCACGGGACATGAAGAAATACGAGGGGGAACTCCACGACTTCGTCCCCGGCACCTCGGGCTATGCAGTGTACTGGGTTCAAAGCAAATGCAGCATTTACTGTGAGAAGGCCAAAATGAAGAGGAAATGGTAAGGAACAGGTGGCTGGAGCAGCAAAATTTCAATGGAAGAGCTGCCAGATGATTTATAAATTATCCCACTGCAGCTCAGAGCATTCAATGTGTTATTTGAGTACTGGCAACAGTTATAGCAGTATTTGCTTCTTTAAGTAACTACTTCAACTAAATTTCACAACAAACATAAATACATTTTTCCTCAAAACACAAATATTTTTATTTTTATTGTGGGGCTGTGGGGTGTGTGGTGGTTTAAGATGTGTTTTAACTAGTTTAAGCAAGTTTTTCTTGGAGGGACAATCCAAGGAGGGACATCTCCTCACTTTCATTTAATCAAAAAATTTTAAGACTTTTTCCCTTTTGTTTAAGCACTTGGAAGTGACCAATAGGGTTGCAAAACCAACTTTTATTGTGGTACAGCCTGATCCTTGGGCTGTCCACTTGAAGGAAACACAGGAAAACCTAGGACAGGCTCCCACAAGCTCCAAGGAACCACCATGGTTGTTCTCCCACTGCCCCAAAGCCAGGAGAGCCTCTAAAATCAAACAGCTTTGCACCTCACACCCCAAACTGCCAGGAAAGAACCCAAAAAGATGCTGGTACACACGAAGGTGTTGAGTCCTCAAAAACCCACCCTCCCTCATCCCTTGGGTGTCTAAAGACCAGGCAGGCTGAGGTGGTTTCCTCACGTTTATTGGAAAAGCGACACACAGGGACAGACTCAGAGCGCTCCCCGGGGCGTCTTGAAGTTCATTCCCACTGTAGGCTGTGTCACCTGCAGGTTGGACAGGCTGCCAAAATCCTGGAAAACAGCACAGCAACAACGGGATCAGTCCCAGCATCCACTGACAGTGGAGGCAGGTTTCTCTGGGGAGGGGTGGGAAGGGGGAAGGTGCTGTGGTCTCCTAAGAAGGGGAGACCACCCTGCTGCAGAGATTGACTCCACAGAGAGAGAATCATCAGAATGGAGGGCAAGGAACACCCCCACCCTGCTGGAGGCAAAGCCCCCATGCCTCTGCCTTTCCAAAAGCCATGTATGAACTAATCCTCCCACAGGAGCCAGGGCAGGGGGACGTCCCTGACACCACCCAGCCACTGAGGGCAGCAGGAGCTGTGCCAGCAGCTGGGCAGGAACAGTTGTGGCCACTAACCAGGAGCTTCAGCATTTCCTTGGTGTCCGGGTCCACTTCAATGATCTCCTGGTCAAGGGCAGAGACCTGGGGACAGAGGGGAGAGAAAAGGTGTGATTGACAAAGCCCCACAACAACCCAAATGTCACCACAGCCACTCTGGTCTCATCCCACTGCTGTGGGGAGCAGCTCCAGCAGCAGAGCCAGGAGCATCCTCATGGGACACAGCTTTGCTGACTGAACACTGCAGGAGGCAGTAGAGGGAAATGCCTGGTTTATGGCAAATCTTTGGAAACTGGAACCTGGTTTATGGCAAATCTTTGGAAACTGAGGCCCAACCTGCTCCAGGCCAGGGCTGCTGAGGAGCTGGCACTTGACCCTCAACTGCACCAGGCTGGGCAGTCACAGTGACACTCGCAGCAGCCTTGTGACACAAGGCCACCATGGTGCCAACAAAGACAGTCCCACCCCCAGGACACCTGTGCTCTCCTGCTCTTTAATCCCAGCAAAACTTCCTCCAGTCCTCTCCAGACCCCAAAAACTCTACCTCCACAGGTTTCCTTCCCCAAGAGCTACATAAGACCAGGATTTTTCTAGGAAAACACAAATATAGCACAGGTTTTGTGTGCTGACACTGCACCAACACTTACAGCGTGGACACTGCTTCCCTGTAACCCTCTGGTACCAGCACAGAAACCAGCAGCTCTGCCAGGAGCTGACTGGGAAGATCTGGGAAAGGGCAAGATGTGCTGTGCCTGAAGGTTACAGGATTTAGGAGCAACAGGATCACGTTCCTGGAACAAGGGAAGCCCTCCTGGACCACCTCACCCAGGTGACAGGTGAGATCTTGAGGCTGCCCAATTTCACCAAAACTTCCCTCTGGGAATTCCAGCTGCAAGGCAGCTTTTCAGCCATTCTGAAATATCCTCCTGCTTCCCATCAAATTTCTTTTTTCCCAAATTTTAAGTTAGGAAAACCAAACCACGAGAAGCCAGCTGTCCTTCCTCTCCCAGGTGGCAAGCTGTGGAGGGAATCCACCTCAACCCCCTTGATCCAAACCCTCCTCAGTTCCTCCTGGCTGGGGGTTGGTTTTAAAGAAACTTGGGAGCATTTCTGGAGACACAGCGAGGCAGGATGGAGCGATGGGGAAGCTGGAGCCTCACCTCGGGGACATAGTTGTCCCTCCTCTCCCTCTCCTCCTCCTGCAGTTTGATGGAGATGCCGCGGACAGGGCCCCTCTGGATTCGCTTCATCAGGTGGGTGACATACCTGAGGGGACACGGCGGTGTCCTGGGCTTTCCCAGGGCTCATGGAACCCTCCCCAACACCCCAAAACCACAGCAGGACGGGGACAGCTGTCACCATCTACCCCGGCAATGTCCCACCACTCACCCTGGCATCATCCCATCACCTCCAGAGGATCAAAGTGTCCGACAGCAACAGGGTTTGGGGGAGACACAGACCCCCCCAAACACGGGAAAACTCTCGTTCTCCTCTCCCTGCACTATCAATGACCCGGCCACAGGCGGGACCGTAATCACTTTCGAATGCAGGAAC